TATATGGCTGGGCCTGGAGCTCAGTGTTAAAGCTCTGCTTTCAATACACACACACACACACGCACACACACACACACACACACACGCACACACACAATTTAAAAAAACAAAACCAGTAACAGCCCAGATGTGCCCCCAGCTGTGAGTCGCTGGAGTCCCAGGGCAGGATCACCAGGGGCCGCACCCCCCAGAGAAGACAGTCACTGTCTGTCAGGTTCTCCTGGTGCTGTGAGCGCTGCAGCAATACCTGCCTGACGGTGTGCGCGGCCCTGGCTCTGGCCGCAGCCATCCAAGCTGTGCAAGTTGGTGGGCTGGGGCGCGGCCACTCGGTACCCCGCCCAGGCCCGTCCTCGCCCAGCCTGGCGTCTCCAGCTAGGGTTCCACACAGCCCCAGGGAGCCCGAGATCAGAGCTAATGCGACCTCTGCCAGCCAGGCCAGGTGTGCAGGGACTGCTCCGAGCCTGCCTCTCCCTTCCGTGTGAGACGCCCAGGGTGGGTGGCGATGTCGGGGTGCCTGGCCACTCCTCCCCTCTGCAGAACCCACAGCAGTGCCGGAAATCACTGTGCCAACGACTGTATGTAACCGACTTCCTGTCGTTACCCACCCGCCCTGGGCACCAGCCCAGCTCCCACCTCCTCCCTGGCTGCCACGGCAGAGGGGTCAGACTCCCCACTGTGTGTCCCTGGCTGCCACCTAGCTGTCTCTGGTCCCTGCTACCCAGGCTCTGGCCTACTTGCCTCTTTGAGCTGGAAGGTTGGCACCCGGCTGTCCCTTAAGTCCAGCCTTCGTACCTTAGTGACTTAGTGAGAACCTGTCTCAAAGATAAAAAATTTAGCTAGGGGCCAGGGAGATGGCTCAGTGGAATAAGTGCTTCCCTGGCAAGCACAAGGGCTTGAGTTCAATCCCCAGTTCCGGAAAAAAAAAAAAAATTTAGCTGGGTCTGGTGGTAGACCTCTATAATCCCAGCACTTGGGAGGCTGAGGCAGGAGAATCATTGTGAGATCAAGAACAGCCTGGGCTACAAAGTGAGCTCAAGGCCAGCTTGACCTGCATAGTGAGACCCTATTTCAAAAAGAGAGAGAGAAAAAAAAAAGATTAAAAGCTGGAGGGCTGGGAGTAGAGCCAGTATGAAGCGGTCAGTGTCCAGCACTGCCAAAAAAGCCCAAATTTTATGTGGGGAAACTGAGGCCCAGAAGAAAAGCAATTCATTTGAGGCCACACCACACCTCAGGAGCTGGTCAGCCTGGGAAATACTCTAATAAGGCCAGAACAGGCTGCTCTGCACCCCCAAGTCATCCTGTGCCCCCACCGCAAGGCCCCTGTGCTTCAGTTTCCCCCATACAAGGAGACATGCCGGGAGTTGTACATGGCACTTCCCAGGACAGCTCTGCTGGGCAGGCACAGGGCCTGGCATGTACAGTGGCTCCCGGGTCCAGATGGCACCTGAGCCCCCACCCAGGGCACCTGTGCCAGGCCTTTTGGGCAGAGGCCTTGGCTGGCAGCGCCCACATAGGCCTGGAAGCAACTCCATGCACTCAGGGGACTTGCTGTCCACAGATGTGCCAAGCTGGGTCCAGTTCCAGAGCAGCCAGGACTACAACCCGGCTCGGCCGGACGCCCGGACACCGTGCTTTCCACGCCTGCAGGGCACCTCGGGGTCTCGCTCTGTTGCTTTTCACTCTGCTTCCCTTTCAAGGACCCAGCCAGTGTGGTGGCACAGGGCTGTCAGCCCAGCACTTGGAGGCTGAGGCAAGAGGATCGTCCCAGGCCAGCTGGGGCTGCACAGCCAGGCTGTCTCAAAAAAAGAAAAAAAAAAAAAAAAAAAAAAAACTGTCAAGGACAGGAAATGTATCTAGGGAGGGAGAGAAATTGGATACATTTCCTGCTCCCCAGAGCCAAGGCTCGGCAGTGCTCCGGCTGTCTAGCCTAGGTCTCTCTTGCCAGCAGTAGAACCAGGTGGCCTCAAGCTGTGTGTGTGACTTTGCACCTCAGTCTGCACATCTGTGAAATAGGACACAGCACGACTTGTGGGATCAGACTCACAGCTGTGGCCCGCACACAGCAAGGGCACACTGACCAACATCGTCCCAGTGCCAGGAGGCACATGAGGGCTGCCCAGAAGGGCTTGGTCTGCAGTACCACGTTGGTTTGTTGAATGAATAAACAACTGTTTGTTCAGTGAACAATGACGGCTGTCCATATTGCAGAACACAAAGCCAAATCCCCCATCCTCACGGACACTAGCAGCACTCCCTCTCCAGGAGTGACAGCCAAATATGTTCCTCTGGGGCCATGTGTTCTGTGCAGGAGAAAAGCACCCCTAAAACACTTAACTTTCCAAGTTCTGGTTTAGCTCAGGAGAATTAAAGCCCAGAGAGGGGCATCCTGGGCCGCGCGGCAGGGAGGCGGAGCCAGCAGGGCAGGCGCGGCGCACACCTGGGCAGGGGTGGGCAGGCCGCACGCTTGCCATGACCCGGCTGCGGAAACTTGGCAGAAGGGCTGGGGTGAGCCACGGTTGCAAAATGGCTGGGCAGCGTGCCTGGGCAGTTGCCGCTGTAGGCCCCGCGGGCACCGCCAGGAAGCTACCAAAGCAGCTCAGAACTGGGCACCAGGACAGAAGAGGATGGAGTCCCAGGACAGGCAGTCCAAGGAAGAGCCAATTAGAGACACTGCCAAGAAGGAAGGACCAATAGTGCTTTGCGCCTGGAAGGAAGGGCCTATGGGAGACGCCGCCTTGGAGCCTGACCAATCAAGACTGCACCCTGTGGATGGAAGGGCCAATCAGAGATAGTCCTTTGCAGGCCAGAAGAAAGGGCCAATCAGAGACAGAACCCTCATCTGACCTATCAGAAGAGTACTGGATATGTTCTGGCCAATAAGAATGTCCCACTGAGTCAGGTTCCACCCAGAAGTGAAGCTCATTGGCTCCAATGGCAAGACAATTTGGTCTCTCTGGTCTCAAAACCGATGGTTATATATGTCACGAATGGGGCTCCCCGGCTCTTCCTGACCCCAGCCCTAAGGGCTGGACTGGAGGAACCCACTGCTTCCACATATGCCCTTGTACTGGCATTAGTGTGTCAGAGCTAAAAGTTCATTAACTCACTAAACTTTTTTTTGGGGGGGGGCAGGGATCAAACTCAGGCCCTTGTGCTTGGCCTGCAGATGCTGTGCCACTGAGCTATCTCCCCAGCCCTCGATAACCATTTATTGAGCTCCTACTGCATACTAGACATGGAAGATTACACTGAACAGAGCGGATGTGAGAAACAGCTCAGAGGAAGATTAAAGAATGCAGAGTGCTGGGCTGTGCAAAGGCCCTGCGCCACTCGGAGGGAGCAGCCAGGAGCCTGTGGGGCTGGAGCGGAGGGAGGAAGGGCAGGGAGGGAAGAGCGGAGGCCGGAGGTGCAGGTGGGCTGAACCGGGCCCTGTGGGCTGCAGGGAAGACTCTGTTATTTGAGAAGAATGGAAAGCTGTGGAAGACCGGGAGGGATGTAATACACACCTACAGACTGGCACACGGGCAGAGACATTTCCTCTGAGCCCCAATCTCCTTTTCCATCAAATGGGGTGCTCGTGCCTCCCTGGGGTACTGATGAAGATGAGAAAAGCACTGAGCACACAGTGGGTTCGTGGCTTCCCCGAGACCCAGCCTGGTGTTCACGACCGACACCCCCCCCCACCCCCCGCCTCACAGCCCGTCCTTCCTGCACAAGCCAGAGGTCCCTGCTCTGTCCTCAGCCCTCCATAGCTTCCACCTGCCCGGGGCAAAGCCCTGCTCTTCCCCCCTGCAGCTCTGCACTAGGAGAATCACGCGAGGTGCCGTGTCCAGGTCTCTTGCATGTGAGGCAAGCGCTTGCTGCTGAATGACACCCTCAACCTGTTTTCTAGGGCTGGCCAAATAGCTCAACGGGTTAAAGTGCCTGCAAGCAGGTGCACGGGCCAGGGGTTCAATCCCTGGGCCTGCCGTGCTGGCCCCCTGAGACAGCAATTGAGACTTGGCGTGGTGGTGCGCGCCTGTAATCCCAGTGCTTAGGAGGCTCTAAACAGATGGATCACTACAAGTCCAATCTAGTAGTGAGACCCTGAACACCCTGTAGACTCTTCCCTAAAATACAAAACAAAACAATAAATAAATAAATAAATAAATTTCAGTTTGTCAAGTTGCTCAGGCTGGGTTCAATCAACATCCTCCTGCCTCAGCCTCCTGAGTAGCTGGGATGACAGGCATGGGCCACAGTTTACAGGCACCAGGCTTTGTCCACACAACCCCAGAGCCCCGGTTTTTCAATGATAAACAGATGGTCAGAGGCAGGCAGAGGGTGTCACTGAGGTGGGTCTTAGAGGGGACACTGACAAGCAGTCATCCACTTCCCAGAGGGGAAACCAAGGGTGGGGGTACTGACCCTCAGGGTCTCTGATCTGGTAGAGCAAGGGTAACTGGCAGAAGGAAGGAGACCTGGGCTGGTGGCCATAGGGGAGTGGGGGCTGTGCCCCCAGGGGCACTGGGAGGGTGCACTGGAGCCCAGGGACGGAACAAACCAGCCCAAAATGCCCAGCAGCCCTTCACGCCTTCATAGGAATGTTGGTATCTCGTGCCTTACAGATTTTCTGCATCTGTGTTGATTCTTGAAAAACACGGCATTAAGACCGGTCAGGGCGTGGTGGCACACGGCTAGCATCTCAACCCTCAGGAACTTGAGGAAAGAGTATCACAAGTTCAAGACCGGACTGGGTAACTAAGAGATTTAGTAAGACTCTTTCTCAAAATAAAAAATAAACTCAGGAAGCTGAGTCAGGAGGATTGCTGTGAGTTCAAGGCCGGCCTGGGCTACATAGTGAGACTTTGTCTCAGAAAACCAGAATAGATAAATAATTGAAAGTGTCAGGGCGGAAGCTCCATGTGAAGCTTCCTCTCTCAGCATGGGGGGAGGGCTACGTGCGGCTCACTAGGGAGCTAAGGACGTGCAAAGGCCCTGGGGCCAGGCCCAGGGTGCCCACTGGAGTCTGACCTGGCTGACTCTGCAGTAGGCTCAGGCGGCAGCACTGGAGCCAGCCCCGGGGCCATGACCCTGGCAGGTTTGGCCATACCAGTTAACCCCCTGGGTGACCCTGGGCTGTCATATTCTCCCCTGAGGCCTTGCCTATCAAGCAGGCTAATAAGGCCTCCCCGCCAGCCCGCCAGAGCTGGGCCTGCTGCCATGCCATGGGATAATGGCCGGAAACGCTGCCCACACACAGCTGTTCCTAGGGCCTTGGGCCATCTGTGACCTCAATTTCCTCATCTATAAAATGGGCCTGGTAATGACGCCTGCAGCCGCTGGCCTCCAGATGCCTTGTGGTTGTCTGAAAGCTGAGCAGGTGGAGAGGGTGTCTTGGGTGTGAACCCCCAACCCCACCCTCAAAGATAAGAATTCCTCCTGCATGGTTAATCCCAGCGTTCTGGGAGGATAAAGCAGGAGGGTGGATTTAGCCACTTAGTGAGACCCTGGTTCCAAACACGAAAGGGCCCAGCATGGTGGAGCAAATCTGTCATCCCAGCACTGGGAAGGCAGAGGCTAAGGGTCCTGCGCGCATTCAAGGCCAGCCTGAGCCACAGCCTTGAGCCTGGCTCTCCTTTCCTCGTACACTGCCCAGCCCCTCCTCGGTGGGGAATGGCCCAGCTGTAATCAAATGCCGAGGGAGAAAAAAGGTGAGGGGGCTTTTAAGCAAGATGGCAACAGGACATGACCAGGGGGACTCTAAGCCTACACGGGTCCCAGAAGGTGCCTCAGATGGGTGTCTCCCCCCAGACCCCTCCCACCCAGCTGGACTGGGCGGGCATCAGAGCCTCAGTTTTGTCCTCCATGTGACAGGGGCCAGGGCCCGGGGCAGCAGCACACGGGTGGACTGGTGCCAAGGGCTGGGGGCATGCCTGGAACCAGGGCAACTTTACAGGGAGGAGTGTGAGTCTGAGCTCAGCTGCCTCTGCCCCCAAGTGCTGCATTCTGAACTTCAGTCCCTGTGGGGCTGCCTCCAGCGTGCCTGCCCCTCCTCTCCCTCCTTTTTTCCTCCAGGCAGGGAAGCAGGGATTGGAGCCAGGATTAGCAGAGGGAGTTTAGTGGCTGAGCTGAGCAGAGTGGGTATCTGGAGCCCCTTCACCTCACCCCAACCAGTGCCTGCCTCCGTTGGGGAGGACAGCGGCTTCCAGAACCCCTCTGTGCCCAAGAACCCAGAGAAAGGGTTTAGGTTAGTGTCTGTGAACTTCTTTCTGACTTGCTTATTACTTTTCTTTTCTTTCTTTTCTTTTTTTTTTTTTGGCAGAACCAGGGATTGAACTCAGGCCCTTGCATTTGCCAGGCAAACGCTTATTCTACTGAGCTATCTCCCCGGCCCCTCTGTCTTGTTTATTGTCCACAGAAAGGTGAACTCTCTCTGAGCTTCATTTAGTTTTTTTCTTTTTAAAAAATCTTTTTGAGACAGGTCTTGCTATGCAGTTCAGGCTGGCTGTGAACTCACTATGTAGCCCAGGCTGGTCTCAAACTCACAGCGATCCATCCTCCTGCCTTAGCCTCCCGAGTGCTGGCATTATAGATGTGTGCCAGCCCGCCTGACTTAGTTTATTTGTAGAAAGAAAGAAGGAAAGAAAGAAAGAAAGAGCAAGCAAGCAGGTGAGGGGTGTGTGGTGGTTCATGACTGTAAAAACAGCACTTAGGAGCCTGAGGCAGGAGGATGGATGTACATTTGAGACTATCCTGGGCTACATAGCAAGACCCTGTCTCAGAAAATGAAAACAGCTGGGCAAGCCTGTAATCCCAGCATTCAGGAAGCTGAGGCAGGAGGATCATTGGGAGTTTGAGATCAGCCTGGGCTACAAAGTGAGCTCAAGGCCAGCCTGAACTGCAGAGTGAGAACCTATCTCAGAGACACAAAAATAAATAAATAAAATTAGACAAATAGAGCCCAGTGGAGACATGCATAATACAAAGAGAAAACCTCAGCCTCTAAAGAGCTGGGTGTCTAAAGAGTAGATGCTTTCAGCATGACTGAGGTATTTATCATGTGGTCAGTTTTTATTGAGCAACTACTAAAACAGGCCTGTGACATTTTCCCAGTGTCCCCGTATCTATCACGTAACAAACTCACAGAAGCCCCAGACTCAGGCATCCTTGGGCCACTGTTAAGGCCTGGCTTTGCTTGCACCCTGGCCCTGGGGTTCTCCCTGGGCCAGCCCGCAACCAGTTCCCCCAAAAGGGTCTCTGAAATTCCAGAGTCTTGGTGCCAGGGATCTAGGGTTGCAGCGGCTGAAAGAGGTGTAAGGGTGGCCAGGCGGGAGCAGCACCCCCTCATCTAGACAGAGCCAGAGGCACAGCTGGGGGGAAGGGGAAGTGCGTGCTCTGCGGGGCGCATTGCGGGTGCAGGGAGTGGGGGCTGTGGCAGGTCCCACCCCAGACGGCGCGTCCTACGCGTGACAGCCTGCGGCAGGGTCGGGGGCGCTGATTTGTCGCTCCCATGCCCCTCCCTGATGCTGGAGACCTCACCATTCACGCTAACTGGGCAGGGGGTGCTTTTTTCCTCCCCTTGGTCCCCTCCACTACCGCCTGGAGCCTTTATGAGACCCCCTGGGGACCTGTACCCCAGGCCTGCCGCCTTCCGTGTCCCAGTCTGTGTCCCCCGTCTGACCCATCTCTCCTCGCGGTGCGTGTGTCAATTTTGTACGGAGACACCTGCGCCCGCCAGGAGGGAGTGTAGGGGTTGGGCTGGGGGAGGGGTCCAGGGTCGGGAGTGAGGGGTCAAGTCTGGGTCTGATGACTGCGGTGTCACTCCAGGCAAGTCCCCGGTGACATCCCGCAGGCTGTCACCATGTGTCTGTCTGCCTGCGTAGGTGGCATCCTGCGGGGAGGCTGTGAGTCTGGGGTCCCCGCGAGTCTAAGTGTCACCCGCAGGCTGTGTGTTGCTAACCCGCTGCGGGTCCCGGTCCGTATGTGTCCCTGCCCGAATCCCGGCAGCCGCCGGGTCGGCGTGTGTCCCCGAGTAGCCCGCGCGCGTCTGTGCTGTGTGCTGTGTACGCGAGCGCGCGCGCGCCGCGACGAAGGTGGATCCGCTCCCTGCGCAGCGAACCGAGCCGGGGCCGCCTCCTCCTCCCCCGCGCTGCTCCGCGCCGCCCGAGCCGAACCGGGCCGAACCAAGCCGGGGATGCAGCCTGTGTGCGATCTGGGGCGCGCAGCGGCTTGAGCGCGGCCCCGGGGGGAGGGCGGGCCAAGGGGAGGGTCCTGCGGGCCGGGGGGGCGGGCACGGCGCACCCCCTCCCTCCCCGCGCGCCCTCCCTCGCCACCGCCTCCCGCCCCCCCGCGCCGGGCACCGAGCGCGCTCGCTCCGGCCTGGCCGCCTCGCCGCAGCGCCATGGTACGTCGCCCCCCCCACTTTCGTTTTCGCCCGGGGACTTTTTAGGGGTGGTGCGTGGGCTCCGAGCGAAAGTTGCCAGGTCTGAGAGTGAAGGGGGGAGGCAGGAGGCGGGGGCCACCTGGAGGAGGGGTTCGAGGCGGGGACCCCGCACCTCTCCGGTCTTCGCAGGACCCCCCCTCTTTACACTCGTCTATCACCCCCCTTTACTCCTCCCTCCCGGGCTAGGGGCGGAGCTGGCGCGCGGGGCGCAGCGGGGGACCCCAAGTGGGGGGCCCCTTGCGGGCGCCGCGGAGTTGGCGGGGAGGGCGGGGCTCCCCCGAAGGTCCCCCCCCCCGTTTCCTCCGTCCCGTTCCCCGCCCCCTCCAGGCCAAACCCTGGGCTGGGGGCGCGACCCGGGCTGTGCGACCCCCTCCCCCGAGGCGGCACCCGGATGAGGACCCCCGATTGGGAAGGGGCGCGCGGCCGGCGCGGGGCGGGGGGCGCTTGGCCCCGCGGGCGCCAGGCCTGGGAGCACGGCGCGCAGCTAGCGGAAAATGGCCGCTCGGAGAGGGCGGGGAGCGCGGCCCGAGGTGCCGTGAACTTGGGGCCGGGAGGGGGCGCAGCCCGGCCCCGCCCCCGCCACCCCCACCAGCCCCGGACCTCGGGCTGCGCGCCCCTAGCCCCGGAGACAGCGGCCGCTTTCGGAGGGCGGGGGTCCCGTGTACTGCGCGCGCGCGTCGGTGCGCGGGAGAGCCCGGCGCCCCCAGAGGGTCCCCAGCGCATCCCCGGGCGCGCGGCCGGGGTCCCGTACCTGCGCGCGCCGGTATCTCTGCGTCCGAGTCCTCTGCACGCGGCCGTGGGTGTCTGAGAATCCACGTGTGTTGTGTGTTATGTGTGGTCTGAGCTTTGTGTGGCTGCGCGACAGCATGGTGCGCCTGGGTCACCGTTCCGCGCGTCCCGCGGGCCAGCAGAGGGAAAGCGTCCGCGCTGTGCGTTCCTGGGTGACCGTGGGGTGTCCCCGAGTGAGTGGGTGGCAGGTTGTGTGTTGGGGGGGTGGCTGCTGAAACTGTCGTATGGCTGCGTCCCAAGGGACAGTTGGGTGTTGCTGTGTGCGTGCGACTCCGGGGCCGAGTGTTCCTAGGACGGGCCTGCCTGACCCCACCTCCCCGCACACACCCACCCCCTTCCCTTTTTCCTGTAACTCAGGCTGCGGGGTGCTGGTGGGGGGTGGACGAGGGCTTTCTTAGCCTCTACAAAGCGCAATCGCCCTTCATCGGACTCGCTCCAGTCCTCTTTCCTCCACCAGCTTCAGTGTCTCCCATCTGCGGGGCCGGAGGTGGTCCTGGCTGGGCGCGAGGTGGCGCCGGGACGCGGTCACCCGGGGCTGCGCGTGCGCAGCGACCTGCCTGGGGCTGGGCGGGGCGCGGGGTTCCCCCTCCCTCTGCGGCCCTGGAGGTCCCCAGGGGCAGGGGGCGTCTCCAGAAGCGCAGGACTGGCCTAGGCCAGGGTGGAGGGGTGACCGAGGAGCCCCCGGGGACCCCCTTTGCCTGGGGGACCCCGTGTGGCTCCGGGCGCGCTCCTAGCCCTGGCCCCGGGTGGCCCAGACGGGGCGGGCGCTTGGAGCTGTTTTCTCGCCTCCGGGGGAATCCCCTCCGCGCCCCACCCCCACTCACGCATTTTTATATAATTTTCTAAATATAAAAACTGCGAGGCCTGGCCTGAGTTTCTGCTGTTTTATTTTTCTTTAACTCCCCATCCCATGGAAAAGGGAGAAAAATTAGTCCCTCGAGGACAGAGACGCACTCCCAAGTGACAGCTGCACCTGCCTACCCTCGGGAATCCCACACTCACCGGGGCCGGGACAGACATCGCAGGTCCCACCACACTCCTGTGTGGGGCATGACACACCCGAGGACACACCCTCACGGTGCAGGTGTGTGTCTGCGTGCGCGCGCGCGCGCACACACACACACACACACACACACACTCGGGCACAGAGGCCCACGTTCCTGGGGAGAAAAACCAGGTCCTTCCCTTATCCTACTCCCCGTGCCCTCATGGTGCCCCTTCACTCAGCTCAGGCGTGAGTTGTGAGTTCGTGTGAGTTCGTTGGACGTTCAGAGCGAGGGTGAGGGATGTGTGCTTGTGTTGGGGGTGGTCCCAAGTGCACGGCCCAGCGCGTGGCGCTTGTGTGTGACTGCAGAGCTTCCATCTGCGGGCGCAGGTGTGTGCCGCAGGAGGGTGTGGAGGGTGGGCTCCTGGGGGACGGTCGGCGGCTGGGAATGGTGTGTTGGGGGGAGTTAGGGTGCTCTGTGTGTGTGGCTGTGTGCACCTTAGAGGTCTCTGATGGTATTTGAGGCCAGGTGTGGCTGACTGTTCCCACATGGTGACACACCCTGCCTTTCTCCCTTGTGACAGAGAACTGTCCCATTCTCTTTTTAGAGGAGTCTCTGGTCCCCATCTGTAAAATGGGTTCTGCCCAGATGACCTGTGAAGGTTGCTTCGAGCTTTAAGCTTTGTTTTTTTAATTGCATGACAGAGCCTTGGATGGGAAGGAGGGTGCAGAATGCCAGGGCCCCTCTGTGCCCATCACCCTCATCCTGGGTGGGACCCCCTGGTGGCTGTGCTTTCCTGAGCTTTGCCTGAGTGACTGCACACCAGGATCCAGCCTTTGGGAGTTCCCTGTCCACTCAGCCAAGGGACCAGATGCGTGCCTTGTGGAGGACAGGTGTGTAGCTCCATAGGGATGCGTATGTGGTCTCATAAAAAGCAGAACTGCCCTCCAAGTCCTGTAGATGGAACTCAGGGCCTTTGCACTGAGTACCACCCCCAATTCTTCTTAAATTTTTTAGTTGCAGCAGGGTCTCTTGCTAAGTTGTCCAGGCTGAGCTCAGGCTTGGGATCTTCCTGCATCAGCCTCTGAGAGTGCCAGTGCCGGGATGACAGGCAGGTGCCACCACACCCAGCTACAGTATACTGCTATAAAGGATACAGTCCCAACTATGTAGAAATAGTAGGTGTTCTTATAAAGGACACATTCAGGACTTTATAAGGGATACAATGTGGATACTTTGTACAATTGTAAGTCAGCTCCTGGACTCTATAGCAGGAAACCTCAACCAGGGGATTCTAGGGCTGGGGAGATGGCTCAGTGGAATAAACGCTTCCCTGGCAAGCGCAAGGACCTGAGTTCAATTCCCGCTTGGGGGGGGGGACCAGGGGATTGTATCCTTGGGGGCTGCATGTGGGGGAGGCAGTCCTGGCATGGGAGAGTGGATGCATGTCAGAACATACTGTGCCCAGGATACCACCAACATGGGACCAAGGGGCAACATCTCAGGTCTATGGCTTGCCCCACTCTGGCACCCCTCAGCCCTTGGAGATGATCAGGGGAGGTGTGGTCTGTGCCTGGAAGTGTAGTATTCTGGGGTCACAAACTGGTCCTCTTCAGGTGAATGCTTCCAGGTGGGGGCATTTGTGCTGTCATCCGGCAGTCATACCCTGCTTTGTGCACCTGTATCCGGGCCACCAGGTATTTATTGATCTATCTAAAATGTAGGGGTGCTTCACAGAGAGGAAACTGAGGCACAGACTGGCTAAAGTGTAGCTGGAGGAGATATATCGGGCAGCTGCCTTGTACCACCTTAAGTGTCCTTAGTAGACCTATTGTGTGCACCTGCACTGGGAGCATCTGGGGCTCTATGCAGGCTGGGAGAACCAGCTGAGGTCAACTTCAACTTTTAAATATCTGTGCATTTGTTTGTTTGTTGAGGGAAAACAACATAACAAAAACAAAACCAGGCGGTGTAATTCAGGCTGGCCTTGAACTCACTGTGTAGCCCAGCCTGGCCTTGAACTTTGTGATGATCTTCCTGCCTCAGCCTTCCAAGTGCACCACCACACTGGCTGGCTATGCATTTTAGATTTCACCTTATATGTGTTCATAGGGTGCTTTAATGAAATAGCACCTTGGGGCCGGGGAGATAGCTCAGTGGCATAAGCATTTGCCTGGCAAGTGTAAGGTCCTGAGTTTGATTCCCCAGTGCCAAAAAAAAAACATAGCATTTTGTGCCCTGCTAGCATCTGAATTTCCAAACACCCCCCTCCTCATTTATCCTGTTGGGATCCTGCCCCCCCCGAAGGTTTTTTAAAAAATATTTATTGAAGCTTCAGCTGCCCTTCTGTGGAGATGGGGCACAGGGACAGGCGCAGCTGGAATCCCGCAGCCTCCTAAGCCAGCTGGTAGCCCAGAGAGCGGGGTCCATCCTCAAGGCCTCAGTTTCCCTTGCCACGGTTGTAGTCGATGCCCCTGAGCAAGGACCTTAGACCCAACTTGCTGAGAGGCATGCCGGGAGGGGTGAGTGACCCAGTGGTGTACAGCTCAAGTGACTTTGTTCTTTTGCGGTGACCCCTTGTGAATGCCGCGGGGCCACTTGGGAAAAAGAGGAGAGACAAATGGCCTCGGGGCGGCTGGGCCATCGGTCCGAGAGCCTGGCCGGGCTTGCTGGTGCACACCTGTTATCTCAGCTGCTCAGGAGGCTGAGGCAGGAGCATGGCGGGTACCAGGGCGGCCTGAGCAGTTTTGCCAGACTGTGTGTCAGAGTAAAATCAGAAGGGCTGGAGGTTCTCCTCGGGGAGGAGCACTTGCCTCGCCTCGGAGAGCTCTGCATTTGATCCTTGGTACCTCAAAGGAGGAAAAAACGTCTAGGCTCTGCCGGAGGTGCTGTCCCCAAGCCATGCTCTCCATGCCCCGGCGTCCTGGTCTGTGCAAGGAGCACACTGCAGGGGCTGTCGGAATCGCTGCGCAGGAGGGGAAGCGGCGTTGCTAGGTTATGTGGCCAGCTGCAGGTTGCCCTGACGGGGTCCTTCCAGGGTCCTGGAGAGTCTGCGAGCGCGGCCGATGTCACACACACCCCCCACCCCGTTTGTCCTTTGGCCCCTGCAGAGGGGAGGCCCTTTCGGCTAGAGGGACTCTTGTTCCCAAACCTCTCCGGCCCCAGAGCTGCAGTCCCTGTGTGGTTCAGAGACGCAGGGAGAGAGGGTCTTCGAGCCCCTGCCCCGCGCCACGCACCCCGCCTCCGCTCCACGCGCGCCTCCGGCCGCGGCCGCTCTACATCTTTAAGGGAAAGGCGCGCGCTCCCGCCGCTCTGCGCACGACACTGCCTCATTCCTTCCCTCCCCCCTTGGCTCGGTCCTGCAACTTCCCGGCCAGCTCGGGGCGCCGGACGGGGGGGGGGGGGTGCGCGCCTAAAAATCCAGCCCTGCCCCCTCCGTGTCCAACAACTGCCCAGCCCCCCCCCGCCACCACCTCCCCTTGATGCGGGTGGGAGAGTTGCAGTGGGGGCGTCCGGGGTCCTCGCGGACGCAGACTGGGGTGGGTCTGGGGGGCGCGCAGATGGTGGAGGAGAGCGGGGAGTGTCAGACAGAGGGTTCCTGAGACTTTGGGGTGGGTGTGGGTGTGGGGGGGGGACTTTCCTTCCTGACTCGCGCTCTTTTTTCCCTCTTTTCTTTGAAAGTTGGATCTTGCAAAGTGGGAGGGGAGAAAAATGGGGGGGAAGAGGGAGAGGGAGGAGAGACGCGGAGGAGAAGGGGGTGCAGGAAAGGAAGAGGGAGACGGACAGAGACGGGGAGATCGGGGAGGCGCGCGCTGGAGCGAGGGAGGAGGAGGAGGCGGGAGCCCGAGGGAGGAGGCGGCGGCCTGGGGGGGTTGGAAAATGACTCAGTAAGTTCCGCGCCCGCTCCGGCCGCCCTGCACCTCCCGCCGCGCCCGGGATGTATTCGTCCCCGCTGTGTCTGACCCAGGTACGCCCCCCCCGCCCGGCGCCCCCCAAACCTCCCCCCAAAAGGGCGCCCCCCCCGGTTGCACGCCCCCCGCACCCCGAGTTTGGAAGCTGGACAAGGCGGGACGAAAAGGGCGCGCGTCTCTCTTGCTGCTTCCACGGGTCAGGGGTCCGGTGGAGGATAGGTTAGGCCGGGGACCCCTCTCCCCCAAATCACGCGCACATTCGGGGACCCCCCCAAGAGTAGAGATTTCTGCCCAGTTCATCCACCCGAGCTCGGGACCGCTCCCCACTTCTGGACAAGGGGCCTTGGCAGCAATCCTGGCCTCCTCCCACTCGGGGCACGCTCCCCCAACTTGGGTGACCGGGAGGGAGAGCCCCCAAGGAGGCAAAGCCGAGGTTCCGCGTCTGGGAGTCTTCCAAAGGGTCCCCTCTGGAGCCCCTATCCCAGCTGTTCCAGGGAAGGGGACCTCTCCGGGTCCCCCAGCCCGCGCCTCCCCCACTCGGCCCACGTGTGCGAGGGGGGAGGGGGTGCACAGAGTTGGAGGCGCGGGGCAGAGGGGCGGTGGGTTCTCCGCTCCCCTCACCCCCAGTTCTCCAGCCCTGTCCTGTATTTTCGCCGCATCGATCGTGAATTATTGAGCCGCCGCTGCCGCCGCGGCTTTGGGGCGGGAGGAGCGGGCTGCTGGGCCTGGCGGGTCACTGCGGCGCTGCCAGCGCCACCTGCCCCCTCCCTGGCTCGCTGTCACCCCTGGCGCGGCTCCCAGATGCCCCTGGCTGAGCCTTGGGACCTGGGCAAAGGGGATGTAGGAGGGGGCTGTAAGCCCCCACCCCTGTACTGCAGATCCTGGTCCCAGCTCTGCCCTGCACCCCTCTAATGCTGCCGTGTGTCTTAGGGCTGGAGGGTTCCTGCCTCAGTTTCCCCCCGGGTTACCTGGGGCTAAGGCTCAGGCCAGTGTACCCTGCAGAAGTACACTGGAGTGAGCTGGGAGTCCGGGGGTTGGGGGGGTTGGGGGATCGGGGAGGTGCCAGCGTTGGGTCCCCGTTCACGACCCCTCAGCACCCCCTTGTCATAAAGACCATGGAACTGGTGCTGAGGGGGTCTCAGCCCTGTCCTCCCCAGGCTCCCTTGGGTGACCTTGGACAAGTCCCAGTGCCTCCCTCAGCCTCAGTTTCTCTTTATGAGCAGCTTTTGGGAAGGGATCCCCCGAAGCAGCTGTCTCCTTGGAGCTCCCAGAATGACGGAACCTGCAGTGGGGCTGGTTGTGTGACCTTGACCAGCTGTGAAGTCTGCTGGCGAGGTGGCCTGACTGGTTTGGAGGCAACCTCTAACTGGAGGGGACACATGGTGGCTGACCCGGGCAGGAGGGCGGTCGGTTGGTCCGAGGTTGGAAGGCCGCCCTGGAGTCTCGGAATTCCCCCATAAGAGCTGGGGACAGCTCTGCGTCCACGTTGCTGCGAGATGGGGGTGGGGCCTTGAGCCACAGACAGGCTGTGCCGACCTGTCCTCAGTGTCCCCCCAGGCAGGGCAAGGGCCCCCAGGAAGGCTGGGGTGGAAACATAAAGACCTCACCTTGCCCGACTCGACAGAGAGACGCGCAAAGACACAGGATAGAGACAGACTAGAACCTAGGCCCAGTGCAGGTGGGGTCTCCACCAACCCCCAAGGGTCCTTGTTGCCCCCTTTGTGCCCTGGAGAGGAAACTGGGGCCCTTCAGGTCCCCTGCTGTGTGTTTGCCCCTTTCAGGCCCAGTCTGCTGTGTGGTCCCCATGGGGGCTGGAGGACCCCCAGCTGAGGAGGACCCCCAGCTTTCTGCTTCAGACTGCTCAGCCACAGGGCTGCCTGCCATGCTGGTCCCTCTTTCTCTTCATCTCAGTCTCCTCCTGCGCTGCTCTCCGTGTCTCTCGGTTCCTCCCTCCCCCTTTGTCCCCTTCCCGTGTCCCCTTTGCTCTGAAGTGTCCCATGTCCCTGTCTCTGTCTCTCCATCGTCTCTCAGTCTCCCTGAGCCTCTATCTCTCGCCCAGCTAATTTTACAACCTAGGTCCTCCCTAAATAGCTCCCGTTTTAGCTGATCCGACCCGGATCCTCCAGGAGCCCCGCAGACCTGGGGGGGCAGCGCTTGGTGCCAGCTCGCCCAGTGCCACCCGGGCCTCTGCGGCGGGCGCCCTGGAGGATTCTGGGAGCCCCGGCCAGGTCCGGCGGTGACTCAAACACTTTTTCACTTTTACTCCTAAGAGGAACTGTGTGGACCTGCCACTCCTTCCATAAATCCTGCCGGGGAGGTGGCCTCCCGCCTTCCTTCCCCCCCTTCCCTCCCTCCTTCCCTCCCGTCAGCGCCACGTTAGTTATTCCGGGTTTGGGGCCAAATCCCTGCTGGCTGCAGCGCTGAGGGTTCCCCGGGCCTCGAGCTGGGCCTGGGCCGAGGCCACCTCCGCAGCTCCTCCCGAATTGAATTCATTCATTTCTCCGCCTCCTTGCTTCTGCCAGCGGCCAGCGGCGGCAACTTCCAACTGCCAGGATCCCAGCAGGGAAACTGAGGCAGGCAAACGTGCCTGGCTCCTGCTGGGTGGAGTAGAGCAGACGAAGCTGCACCTGTGACCCCAGGCGGAAGCTGGGCTGGGGAGGCTGAGATAGCTGAGTGCAGGCCCCGGTGGGGTCTGCAGGGGCTCGAGCAGGCCCCCAGCACCTCAGGAGGAGAGAGGGGCAGAGACGCAGAGGGGCGGCTGCCAAGGGCCCACCTGGCTACTGGGCAGTGGGGGCGCCCTGTATGCCTCCCTCCACTGTCTCCCATGCCTGTGTCCCTGTCCCATCTCTCTCTGTCCCCCTCGCTGTCTGTCTCCCCCTCCCAACTCTGTACCTCCCAGAGCCAGGGCCAGGCGCCCTGTAAATCACCAAGCTTCAATTCTGGCAGACTCAGCAATTCTCTCTCTCCCTCTGTCTCTCTCCATCTTTCCCCACGTAGATGGCAAAGGCCGCCAGGACCCAGCCAGGACCCCCGCCCCCACCCACTGCTCCCACCACCGCGGGCCTGCAGGGGCCCTTGCATCTCCCCTGCCCGCCCCACACGCATGCGCAAGTGCAGCCCCGCCTCCCCGACCTGGGTCCCACGGCCACCGTGAGGCTCCCCAAGCTCAAGCCCCGATGCTTTTCAGGTGCCCCTGAAGATTGTGCTCCAGAAGCCGTAGTCACAGTGTCCTCTTCCCCAGCTCTGTGACAGGCAGGTGACACTGGGGAAGTGGCTGTACACCCCACCACCACAGTTTCCTCAACGCTGGGCAGCTTGAGATTAGGAGGTGGCAGGGATCTCTGAGATTCAGAAGGGCCTGGCACTCAGTAGGTGCTCAATAGATGTCCATTTCGTGAATGAGTGATTCTGTTGGTTGACAGAAGGGCCTTTGGTCTTCCTTAGCTTGTTTCATCCCCATATAAAATGGGGGGCACAGTCATGCTTTTCTCAGATAGGCTCCCTTAGTGTGGCAACTGGTGCCCGGTGGGTGCCAAATAAGTGCTGCTGTGGTGGTGGTATTGATAGACTAATAGTTGCATTAAACGTATTTTGGGTGTTTTCCAACTTTATCCTGTCATTACTGAGTGAACTAACTGGGCTTTGGGCTGGCTCACAGTAGCCGAAAGATGCCGGCCCTAAAAGGGCCGGGGAGATGGCTCAGTGGAATAAGCGCTTGCCTGGCTAGTGCAAGGGCGTGAGTTCAATCCCCAGTTCCAGGGAAAAAAAAAAAAGATGCCTGCTCTAACCGGCGCAGTGGCACACTTCTGTCACCCCTGCTCTCCTGGGAGGCTGAGGCAGGAGGATCTCAGGTTTGAACCCAGCCTGGGCAGCTTAGTGATTTAGCAAGACCAGTTCAAAGGCCCTGGGTTCAATACCAAGTGTGGGCCAGGTGTGGTGGCGCAGTCATGTCTCCCCTGGGAGGCTGAGGCAGGAGGAGCGTTGTGAGCTCGAGACCAGCCTGAACTGCACAGTGAGACCCTGTCTCAAAAAGACAAAAACAAAAACAAAAGGAAGATCTTCCTGCCTCACCCTGACTGGCCAGACCTGGGGGGCGTTGGCAGTTGTAATTTGGGGTGCAGGAGTGAGGGATCACCAAGTTGTCTCCTTCCTGGTCCAAATACTGGAGACACAGCAGTAAGTAAAGTTCAAAATCCATGCTGCATGAGGCTGAGTTTGGCCGGGACATAAAGCACCTGAGTGAGGGGAGGGGATGAGGGATGAGGAACTGGGGGCCTGGGCGGCTTCCTTCAGCTGCAGGTGCAGCGACAGGGCTGTGTTGCACTCTGCACAACCAGGAGAGTCTCTGTCCTCCGTGTCTCCTCCCCACGGCTCCCGCAGTGCGGGACTCCATGTGGCCCCGGGGCCTTTGCACAGGTTTTGTCCCCAGGGGGGGAAAAATCCTCACCTGGATTATCAGCTTCCAGGGCTTATCCAAGGGCCCCCTTCCACAAGAGCCCTTCCTGGAGCAGTCAGTCCCAGCTGAGAGAGGAGCCTCTGGGGTTTGGCCTCGGCACTGCCCCGACTCAGGCCAGCACTCAGCAGGTGCTCAGAGTGTTTTCTGAATGGCCAGCTGAATCCCTCCCTCACAGGGTGAGATGAGCAGTATCTCAAGCCTGGACCTTGGGGGAAGGAATTACTTGTTTGTCACTGTGATGCTAGATGGACCTAGGTGTGGAGGTGAGCACTGCTGCTCACTCACCAGCTGTGGGAATGCGGGCAAGTCTCTTCCAGCATGGAGAAGGGGGGCATTGGAAAGAGGGCTTTGAAGGATGTATAGGAGTTTCACATAAGCAGAGGTGGATTAGGTGCTTACTAGGGGCTGATGGAATGCTTACTTTTTGGACTGGGAAGGATAGTTTTGGGTTCTGGTTTGCTAACTTGGGTCATGGAGAGGCCAGAAGAGGGACACAGTTCACGAGGGTGACAGAGAGGGACTCAGGACTCAGAGGTCCCTGTTCTGTATGCTCCATGCTTAGTTTAGAGCAAATCCTGGGGAGAACAGGAAGGGGGAAATAGGGAAAGGGCATTGAGGGATGTGTAGGAGTTTGGGAGAGTTTTCAGCAGCATGTCTTTGTTCACTTAAGCCTGGGAGCGCATTGGAGGTGCCTAGGAAAGAGGCTGTTGCAGGTCTTGTGGGACAAAGAAAGGGACAGGCTCTATGTCTCACCTGGTCTGACCTCCTAGGGGAGGACAAAAGAGGACCAGGCAGTAGGTCCATGACCCAGTTACAGGCTGTTTGTCTTCCTGCCTCCATGACCGACCTGCCAGGGTCACCAGTGACGTGCGTTCCCACCCCTGTCCGCCTCTCCGGCACCTACTCTGGGAGGGAGACGGACTTGGAGAAGGGGAGACATGTAGGGGGCAGGGCCTGCTGGAGGGTGGGGCTCGAGAAAGGTAGGCCCAGGGACAGGAAGGGGCCTTTGCCGCGCCCCCGCCTTACATCCCAGCTGCCCCTTCCAGCTCCACTGATGTCCCCAGCGAGCCCTGATTGGGTGGCAACCATAGCCCATGTCACTGTGGTCCTGGCCACCTGACCCTCTGGGCAGTGACCCTGGCCACTATTGATCTTGCGCCTCACCCTGCTATCTCCTCCTCCTGCTGCTGCCCTGGCCAGGTGGTCTGGGCCATGTTCCCATCTCTCAGGCAAGCAGCCTGGTGGCCTGGGACAAATAGGGCCCTGTGTCAACTGGCACCCAGGCTGGGAAAGGTGTCCAGGTGGGGACGGGTGGGACAGGTCCCCCTCCCTGGGCTCAGTTGGTCCCCAGGAGCAGGGCAGCAGGGGAGGCCCGGGATCCGGTGCCCCTCAGCTGTCCCAGTGACTCACCCTTCGGGCCCTGGCCTCAGCGGCAGGCTATTTTCAGACCCTCCGTAAGAGGTGAAATCTGATGCCCCTCCTCCCCAGCACCCAGGGCCGGAGAGCAGGCGCTGGCAGGGGCACTGTGCAGAAAGGCCTGGGAGTGTTGCTGAGCTGGCTGAGCTGGGGGGTCTGGGGGATGCCCGCTGTGTCCTGGGAAGCCAGGCAGGACAGGCTGTCCGGGGACAGGGGTTGACAGCCCTACAGAGAGGGTCAGGATCCTGGGGTTTTTTTTGTTTTTGCAGCCCTGGGGATTGAACCCACAGCCTTTGCACTGAGCTACATCCCAGCCTTTTTTATTTTGAGACAGGATGTCGCTAACCTGCTAAATTGCCAGAGCTCAGCGGCGCTTGCTATCCTCCTGCCTCAGCCTCCCTTGGTGCTGGAGTGACAATGGGGTGCTAGTTCTCAGCCTCACAATGGCCTTGTAACCTACAGGACCTTGACCAGGTCTTGGCCCCTTTCTAAGCCTCAGTTTCCCCATTATAGGTGGGTTAGCAGAACTTTGGGGGCTTTTCTTGCTTCCTAGAAGATCACAAGCAACCAAAATAATCAGAACAACAAGATACCAAAAGTAGTAGGAAATAAGCATTGATTTGCAGCACATCGATAATCCCCGCACTCGGGAGGCTGAGGCAGGAGGATTGTTGTGAGCTTGAAATCAGCCTGGGCTACAAAGTGAGTTCAAGGCCAGCCTGAACTGCATATTGAGACCCTGTCTCAAAAAGACAAAAAAAAAAAAAAAAATACCACTGATGATTGGGCGTGGTGGTGCACGCAAGAGGCTGAGGCAGGAGGATTGCAAGTTCTAGGCCAGCCTGGACAAGTTAACCCTATCTCAACATAATGAAAAGTGTGGGGCTGCAGCTCAGTGGTGAGCGCTTGCCTAGCACGCCCAGGCCTGGGTTCCACACCCAGCACCTTGCACACAAAATCATAATCCTGGTTGTAATCACCATCAGGGATAAGCCCCTGGGCCTTGGCTAAGGGGACCCATGTTGCAAAGGTGTATCTGTAGGGACCAGCAGGGGTGGGAGGACGTTTTCTTCCTCTTTCTTCTCCAATCCCTCCGCCTTGATAATCTGCACATCCAGTGTCCTTGCTGGAAGCTGGGGAGATTGAAGGGTTGGGGAGGTCATTCAGTGGTCTCAGTGCCTGTCTGGCAAGCACAAGGACCCGAGTTCAATCCCCGGTACCGCGTTTTGTGCCAACCCTGCACTGTGCTGGCCACCGAAACTGGGTGTGGTGGTGCACACCTATAATCCCAGTGCTAGGAAGGCTGAGACAGGAGGATCACTATGAGTTCAAGCTGTGTAGTGGGACTGGGGAAATGGCTCAGTAGAATAAATGTTTCCTTGGCAAGTCCAAGGGCCTGAGTTCAATGCCCGCTTCTGAAAAAAAAAAAAAAAAAAAAAAAAAGGAAGAAAGAAAAGAAAAAAAAAGCTGCATAGTAGTGAGACCCTGTACCAAATAAATAAATCTTTAAAAAAAATGGGGAGATCGAGAGGGGCCTCTGACACCCCACACTGCTCTCTGTGGAACCTGGTGTACTTCTTCCCCCTAGTTCTGGGGATTGAACCTCGCCCTTTGCACTGAGCTCCATTGCCAGCCCAGTTTTATTTTGCATTTGACACAGGCTTTGGCTAAGTTACTAAATTGCCCAGGCTGGAATGGAACTTGCAGTTCTCCTGCCTCAGCCTCCCAGAGTTCTGGGAGGACGGGCATGTGCCACCACGCCTGGGCCAGTGTGGCTGCCTTTCTATTAGGACGTTACAGGCGTGTGGACCGCAGTCCGGCTCTGGTCCTCATTTTTTGTCTTGGGTTACAGCTGGGTTGATGCAGCCCCCACTCACACTCCCCAGTGTCACCTCTCCTTGCCCGGCATGGGGCCTGAGCCCAGACCTGGGAGTTGTTCTCGGGGCCTGCTTCCTCCTGCAGCAATCGAGCCTACCCTGTGCACTGGCACCGTTCTAAGCAGCTGGGGACTGCAGAGCCCCCAGGCCATGGCTGAGGCGTGCAAGCTGCCATCCAGGGTGAGCGCCTGGCATCTATTTCTGTGAATAAAGTTTTGCTGGGCTGCAGCTGCAGCCATCTGGTTCATCTCATCTGTAGCTCAGTTTGCAGTAAAATACAGAGTTGAAATCGGGTGTGGTGACACCTCTTATCCCGGCACTCTGGGAGGCTGAGGCAGGAGGGCCACAAGTCCAAGCCCATCCTGGGCAGCTTAGTGACTTAGTGAGACCTTATCTCAAAATAAAAAAAACAGAGGGGCCAGGGAGATGGCTCAGTAGAATAAGCACTTGCCTGGCAAGCACAAGGATCTGAGTTCAATCCCTGGTTCCGCCAAAAAAATAAAATAAAATAAAAATAAAAAAAACAGAAAGGGCTGGGGCTGGAGCTCAGTGTGAAGGCCCTGGGTTCAATTCCCAGTGCTTCAAAATAATAATAATAAAGTAAGTTAAAAAATAAAAAGACCTAGAGATGCAGTCCCGTGCAAAGGCCCTGGGGTCAGAACCATTGCACACAGATGCTGCCTGGCTGTCTGTAGCCCTTTATGATAAAGTGCAGATCTGCCCCACTCCAGCAACCCCGAGACACTGCCCTCTGTCCCCGGCTGCACGGTGGGTCTCTGGGCACTGGTCCCAGAACACCCCCGCAACCTGGGAACCCCGGCCTGGCCTATACCTCCCCGGGCACCCTGCGCAAGGGCAGTGCTGCACCCCCGGGGTCCGAGCGTGGAGCGGCCGCACAGTGACCTTGGCCTGTCCTCCGCAGGATGAGTTCCACCCGTTCATCGAGGCGCTGCTGCCGCACGTGCGCGCCTTTGCCTACACCTGGTTCAACCTGCAGGCGCGGAAGCGCAAGTACTTCAAGAAGCATGAGAAGCGGATGTCGAAGGACGAGGAGCGCGCGGTGAAGGACGAGCTGCTGGGCGAGAAGGCCGAGGTGAAGCAGAAGTGGGCGTCGCGGCTGCTGGCCAAGCTGCGCAAGGACATCCGGCCGGAGTTCCGTGAGGACTTTGTGCTGGCCATCACCGGCAAGAAGCCCCCAAGCTGCGTGCTGTCCAACCCCGACCAGAAGGGCAAGATGCGGCGCATCGACTGCCTGCGCCAGGCCGACAAGGTGTGGCGGCTGGACCTGGTCATGGTCATCCTGTTCAAGGGCATCCCGCTGGAGAGCACGGACGGCGAGCGGCTGGTGAAGGCCGCGCAGTGCGGCCACCCGGTGCTCTGCGTGCAGCCGCACCACATCGGCGTGGCCGTCAAGGAGCTGGACCTCTACCTGGCCTACTTCGTGCGCGAGCGAGGTGAGCGCCGGGCACAGGGGAGGCCCGGGCGGGCCTGGGCGAGGCGCCCTGCGGGGGCGGCACACGGGTGCAGGGCCGGGCTGGGCCGGCTGGAAGGAGCCAGGCTGCAGGAGGAGGCCGGCCTGCCAGGGCTCTGGGCCCAGGTCTGGGGGGACAGTGGAAGGCGGCGGGCGCCAAGGCGCTTCCAGGGCAGGCGTGGTCTGCAGAGGTCTAAGCCAGAGGACCCCACGCGAGCCCAGAGGTGCCGGGCACCTCGGCCGTAGGGGAGGGCAGGTGGGGCAGCCTGAAGGAGAGGCACGGCCACAGCAGCGTTTCTTGGGGGTGGCAGGCCCGGAGAAGGAGGAGGCGACTGTCCTCCGCAGGCTCAGCCATGCGGAGAGGACACAGGACCTCAGCCCCAGGGGAAAGCGGGGCACGCTGTGGGGTCCACGTGCAGGGCCGGGGATCCACAGGAGGAAGCAGGCACTGGCCAAGCCGAGCTCTGCAGGGCACCTGGGTGGCCTGGGCACGGGGTTCTCTATTGTCCTGTTAAGTCCTCTCAGGCCTCAGTTTACCCTTTTGCCAAGCGGTGGTTATCGGGGTCCCTGGCTTGGAGGGCCAAGCCAAGGTCACTCACTCCGCTCTGCCAGGCCCACCCAGGCTCCAGATGCCACCCGCCTCAGCCTGCCTCGGCAGCCCCATAGCTTTTCCCTGCCTCGGTTTTCCCCTCAGTATAATGGGCGTTTAACGGCCCTGCCAGCCTCCAGGGAGACACAGGGATTGGGCGCTGCGGGGCTCCCCGCTGCGGCCCTGCGTGTGGGAGGGGGTGGGTAGGGCCGCCGGTGGTCTTGACCTTGACTCCTCGTCCTAGACCTCCGCCCCTGCCACAGGCTGCGCCCCTCCTCCCGGGGGTGCGCAGGGGTGGACAAGGTGGCAGCGGGCGGGCGGGCAGGTCCTCATCCCCGCCGCTCCGCCCGCCCCGCCCCCACGCGCACGAGCCCGATTCTCCGCAGTCAGCACAATCCCGGCGCCCCTCCCCCGCCCGCAGCCGGCCTCGGCCTGCGACACCTTCGCGCGCAGCTGCCCGCCGGCCTCCTCCCCCGGGCCGCGAAGGTCAAGGCCGACACCCTCCCCGCTTTCAGCCCGCCCCGCACCCGCACCCCGGGGGAGCGCTGTCTGACCTCCAGTGCCGGCGTCCTGGCGTCCCCCCCCCTCCCCAGGGCAACTCAGTGACCCACTGTGGGCCTTGTTTCCTTGTTTATAAAATGAGAAGTTGGGACACAGCTTGCAGCTGGGCGCAGTGGCATAGCTCTGTAACCTCAGGGCCTCCAGGAGGCTGAAGCAGGAGGCTGGAAAGTCGGAGCCCAGCTTGGACAATTTAATGATTTAGTGAGAGTCTGTCTCAGAATAAAGGGTGAGAGGAAGACCTTGGGTGCTAGCCCCAATACAGGAGGGAGACAGGCCTGGCACGGTGGCCCACGTCTGTCATCCCGGCGCTGGGGCGGCTGAGGCAGGAGGATGGCTGTAAATTGGAGACCAGTCTGGGCTGCATAGCAAGTTCAAGCTCAGCCTGAACTACATAGCGAGATCCTCTCCAAAAAGAAAAAAATTAAAAAAAAAAAAAAAAAAAAATAAAAGAAAGAAAAAAGAAAAGAAGAAGGAAGAAAGATTGAGGGAAGGGGTGGGCTGGGGTTGTAGCTTAGTGACAACACTTGCCTACATACATGAAGCCAGGGCTCCTTCCCCAGCACTGAAAAACAAGATAAACAAAAACTCAGCCTCTGCGGAATGTTAGAGCCCTGTGCTAAGGGCTTAGAAAGAAGGCTCATGGTGTGGAGGGACCCTTGTGCTCACAGGATCATGGTTTTCTCTGGTCACCTCGCTCGTGCAGTTCCCTTTCCATGTGGAAAGCTCCTATGCCTACATCAAAACCCCAAGTCCTAACTCACTTTGTACCAAGCCTTTTTCTGAGGCCTTAGCAATTCTTTTCCATTTTCACAGCAGTCCAGTGAAGCAGGAGCTATGTTGTACCCATTTTACAGAATGGGGAAACAAAGGCCCGAGGCAGGGGTCTGACCTGCCTAGGTCCACAGGGTGAGAGGGGCCAGGATTGGAGCTTGGGCTCAAGTGGCATCTGCCTTGGTCATGATGGTGGTAGAAGATGACATCTGGGCCTTGCAGCTCGGTGACTTAGGCTCTAGGGGAGTCTGGAGTCCCCACCCACGGCCACGCCCCAGGACCCCTCTTGGGACAGGGTTCTGTCTGTCCCAGCTCTGTTAGCTGTGAGTGTGATGGTACGGGGTGGGTGCCAGCCTCTGCCTCCCCTCCCCCACTAGGGGATTCCCAGGGCTCCCGCAGGGGTGCAGTGGGGGCTCATCAGCCCTGGCACAGGCTGGGCGGTGGGTGGACGGGAGGGCGTGGCCAAGTGGAGATATGGGCTTCGTGTCCAGGACCACATGCCACATAGCCCAAGGGGACACCACACTCAACCAGCATTCGGGCCAGACACAGTGGTGAATAGTAGGGTCCCATGGTGCAAGAGGGAGAGAGGCCGGGCGCGCCATGATCCGGCACCTGGGCGTCTGAGGCAGGAGGATCACTTGGTGGATCCCAGCCTGGGCCAGTGAGCGAGGCCTAAAAGGGTGAGGCTGGGGCTCTGTGGGGAGGCCCTGGGTTCAATCTCCAGGACTGGGGGAAGAAATAGACTTAATATCAGGCAAACAAGGGAGGTTACAGTGGCAGAGGACCTGGGGGCCGCTCCGGATGGGGCGGGGCTCCTGAGAGGTGACTTTAGAGATGAGGCCTGAAGGACAAACAGAAGCCATGGGAGGGAGCCGTGAGCTTGTACCCAGCTGACTGGGGGTGAAGCCTGTGCAAAGGTCCTGGGGCTGCCTGAGCCCTTCTCGCAGAGCCGCAGGAACTGCGGGGTGCTGGGCCCCACAGGACAGGGTGAGCCTGGCGCTGCCCACACTGCCTGGCTTTGGGAAGCAGCCTGGGAAGCCAGACCCAGGGCCTGCACCCCAGCCGGCCGCCCCGCCCCCTCTGGCAGCCGGAGAAACCCGACTCAGAGCGCGGGCGGGCAGCGTGCCAGGGCAGTGGGGGAGGGGCTGCCAGGCCCGCCCACCCCAGCAGCTGCCAGCCCAGATGGTGCCCATGTGCTGACGCTGCCGCCCCGGGCCGGCCTCCCCCTCCTGTTCCCGCCTCGGCTGTGCCAGCTGCCCTCAGCTCAGCGCCCGCCAGCGCCATGGCCCAGTGGGCTCCCCAGGGTGGCAGGGAACTTGGGCAGGGTCCCACCCTGCCTGGGTGGGACTGGGCCACAACGACACTGGCATGGATCGTGGCTACAGGGAACATGGTCTCCCAGCCCCACACATTTATCTTTTGTTTGTTTGTTTTTCATGCTGGGGATGGAACTAGAGCCTGACGTGAGCCAGGCAGGCCCTCACCACTGAGCTGCACCCGATCCGCGTTGTGTATCCTGTTTCTATCTGCCATCCAAGAGGGAAGCAGTCTTTCTATCCGGGGTTTTATAAGGAACCAGTGACCCAGAGATGGCAGTTACTTACCTGAGGTCACACAGCTCTTAAAAGGCAGAGCTAGGATAAAAACATCCAGGTCTTTTTTTTTTTTTTTTTTTTTTTTATGGGAATCAAACTCAAGACCTTGCAATTGCCAGTCAGGTGTCAGGCCGCTGAGCTACATCCCCACCCCATCGGGGTCTTTAAAAAAGAACTCGTGGGCCAGCCAGATAGCTCAGTGAATTAAAGCTGGCGTAGGGACCGGCGTGCATCGAGACAGCCAATGAGACCGGGCGTGGTGGCCTGGACCTGTAACTGCAGCATTTGAGAGGCTGAAAACAGGAGGATCACCAGGAGTCCGATCTGTGTAGTGAGACCCTGTAGACCTTGTACTAAAATACATAAAAATAAAATAAATAAATAAATAAATAAAAATTTAAAAAGTCAGGAGGCTGAGGCAGGAGGATCTCTGTGAGTTCAAGGCTAGCCTGGAGTATATAGTGAATCCCTGTCTCAAAAAAAAAAAAAAAAAAAAAAGGGTTGACACCAGACGTGGTGGCACACACCTGACATCCCAGCACTCAGCAGGCTGAGGCAAGAGGATCACAAATCGGAGCCCAGCTTTGGCAACTTAGTGACTTAGCAAGACCCTTTCTTAAAATAAAAAGGGCTAAGGACCTGGCTCGGTAGTAGAGCATTCCTGAGTTCCATTTCCAGGATCACAAAACGACAAAAGAAAAGAAAAGGAACAAAGCATCCTTTCACGAATCCAAATAGATAAACATCCCCTTTCTGGTTATCAGGTAGAAGCCACACATACCTACAGCGCAGAGAAAATAAGGAGCAGGCAGGCCGCGAGCTGTGCTCGGACGGACATGGGAATGGGGACCCTGGATCTGCCTCCTGCACGAGGCTTGAGCCTGTGCTGTTTGACCGTGGGGGGAGCCCTGCCCTCTCTGGTCTTGGAGTGAGAACCGTGTATATCACATCATGGACTGGAGTCAGTGATCCCCAGAAAGCATACAGAAGGTGCTCAATAAAGGCTTATTTGCTTCCTGGATCCATTTCTCACCCAAGGGAACAACTGGGGCCCCTGTGATACAAGGTGGCCCTGCAGGAGTCCATGTGACCTGGTGGGAATGCCTTGGCCTAGCTGTGTAACCTCTAGCGAGAGACCTCCCACTGTGCTGGGCCTCAGTTTTCTTTCCTATAAAATGGGGTGAATGTGGCAGTGCACACCTGTGATCCTCCTAGCACTTGGGAGGCTGACGCAGGAGGGTCACTGCGAGTTTGAGGTCAGCTGGGCCTACACAGTGAGACTGTGTCTCAAAAATTGTTTTTAAAAATGGAGTGATTCTGATCTCAGGGCTAAGAGGGCTAGACAGGATGAGTTAGCGATGGACTAGAACCAGGCCTAGTATACAGTAGGTGCTCGACTATACACCAGGGGACTCTGGGGAAGGATGGCCCGGCCCCGCTACATGGGGGACAGAGCTTGAAGCT